AATTTAGAGAAGGAAGTGGTCACCCCAACTTGACTCACCCTTTTGTGTGCAATGCAGGGGTAAATTGCCATTTCAACTTGACTGACCCTTTTGTGGGCCATGCAGGGGTAAAAATTAAAGAAGGATGTTGCCCTTTCAAGTTGACACACCCTTTGGTGAGCCACCCGAGGGTAAAATTTAGAGAAGGATGTTGCCATTTCAACTTGACTCACGCACTCACTTTTGCCGATTTGATCTTGATACTCACACCCTGCCTCTACACTTTTCGAACAGGAGGCCGATTCTACCACTCGATGTGTCTTACTCCTGTACATAGATTTCCTGACTTTCGTTTGGCTCTGTATAATTCATTGCATGTTTTTTCCGAGCGCTAACCCCCCTCCGCGCAACGAAATCTGCAGATAGTATTCAACGTTCCTGCCATGAAATCAGGCTTTTAGTGGAACCTTGGTAAACCTTGCCCACCACATCAGCAAATGCTATTCAAAAGTCTTGGACGAAATCTGACTGTAAGCGGAACCTTGCTTGCCTGTTGAACATTAAAGCTGCGGTTATTCTAGACAAAAAAGCCAATCAGCCAGGAACCAACAACTTAGTATGACACACAGGAAGATTTGAGCGGAAACTTGACTTTTAAAAACAAAAGCTGCTGCTGTTGCAAAAAAGAGGCCAGAAAGCCAGGAAGAGACAGGAAACGTGATTTAATATAATGCATTACAGAATTGACAAAATGTATGAAATAGAATGAAATTACTCCAATAATCAAAAAAAGAAAAACCATCAAACATTTAATCACTCACGTTAGTTCAGAATAATACCTGAAAGCGTTAGCCGTGTCTGCTCATAGGGGGAGGCGCGTCCCCCTCCCCCCAACCCGCCCTGTGCCACAAGATTCCTGCCACGAATTTCGACTCTGAGCGGAAACTGCCTGTTAGCCAGGAGGCCAGGCAGGAGGAAAGAGATTAGTATACAGGCCGACGCCCAGCCCAAAGAGGGTTCGTGGTAGAATTATTTTTTTTTGATTAAGTAATTAGTTTTTTTTTTTTAAATTGATCCCCTTGAATAATTTTTTTATTGATGCGATGAATAGTTTTTATTTGTGATACTTCACCCACTATGGCCAGTCGTGTGGCGATGAGCTGCTTGCTACATGAATGCGGGGCGTGTGCGCGGCATGAGCTTGCTGAAAGACGCGGCGGGCCGTCCCCTGGCCAGGTCGAGGTGCAAGTCGCGGTCAATGTCACGCTGGTTTCACCCGTCTCGCTGAACAGGGTCTCCCGGCCCCGCGCTGCGCTCTAGCACGTGATCTCGCGCAGATGGCACGGGACTTCCCGGAATTCGCGGGGCGGGGGAGGCGGGCGTGCCCACCTTGCCGTGCTCGCGCTCGAGCTGGGGGAGTGCGAGCGCTTACGGCACGCTTGCAGGTGGCCGTGCGGAGTAGGCGTTGTTGTCGCAGCCGCGGTTTAGCCGCGGCCCACGCACGTACCATCAACACTGCTGGGGGAGCATGTCTACTACTCCTTGACCTCCGCCTGCCGAACCAAGGATCATTGCGCTGGGGACCCCAGGCCCGCCACGCCGCTCTGTTGGATCGCGTGCCCGCCGTCCCGGATTTGCAGGGCGGTGCGGCCTGCTGCGCTTGCTGCGGCCCACCGACAGGAACATCTGCCGCTGACCACGACACCGCTGGGCTCCTAGGCCCACCCTCTGGCGTGGACCTGCCACCTCTCCCCGCCCAGCGCTGTGCCAAGTGCCAAGTGTGGAGCGCGCGCATTGCTGCCCATTGAGGCTTGTGGGTTGGCTCGGCCCCCCGTGATGGGAGCGCGCCAGCCACTGCCCCTTCCTGCCACGCCCGGCGCACAGCCGCAGCCAGCAGTCCAAGCTTCCGTGCTCACGCTCGCACTACAACCATCATGGGTTGAGGTCGCCGTTGGCCTGCGGTTGGACGCCCTCCACTAATCCCGAGTACCTATTAAAAACGGATCCCAATTAGAAAAAAATCATGTCGGAAACTCCTAATTAAATACGCTTTATATTTGTTTTTAGATTACCGCCCCCTCAAGCCGCTACTAAACTACCAACCTTGCCGACTTTGGAGGAGTTTTGTTCATTAGGTTCAAAAAGCAGCCGTAACTGCCCACCTTTGTCCGCCCTGTCTATCCACCATGACGCGCCGCGCTTACACCAGCAGGCTTCCCTTCCCGCAATGGCACGGACTCACGCAAACGCACGTGCCACCGAGGTCATGCAGCACCGCATGGCACAGCGACATCACCTTTCGAAAACTTTAGCTGTTAGTCTACTGAAGAATCACTATTCTAATGAAGGTTTTTGTAGGGGAAAAGGAAGAAAGACCCTTCGATCTGGAGGTTTTTTTGCATTTTTGGTACGAGTTTAATAATGGATTTTGTATAAAATTTTACGGATTTACTTTTTGGCTTTGAAGCTCTTCCCAGGTGACCCTATTTTAGATCCCCCGATTTCAGGGACCCCCTATTAGAAAAAATGCGACCGAGGTTTCCTTATTGGGGGGGGGGGGGCCGTGTTTTTTTAACAGGTGGACCGGATTACTTTGGGAAATTTCACAGCGAATTTGGCAGACCACGAACCACGAATTTTTACTGTGCATTACCTGCGTTTCCTCCGTTGTGGGAACAACCACATGCAGCGTTTTTCATAATCACAGGCTTCGTGCTCCCACCCTTACCTTTGCATGGTCCCTCACAAGATCTTACGTGTGTTTCTTCAACGTCGTGCGCTGGAAGTGATTGAGGCGTTTAACCCCCGCTTCCCCAAACTCTAGATAACCGATTGGCTGGCTCACAAGGACCACCTGCACACCCGGGAATTGCCACTTGGGGTTGTCGTCGAGAAAAACGAGCGTTCCCAAACGTTTTCTGATTTTTCTGGCGGTATCGCGACGGGCATGGCAGATGTTCGCGTTGCGACCAAACGTGACACCATGCTCGCGTGTTGCCGAATTGCACGTGCTCATTTGCTGGCAGGGCGATCCAAAGCCGCAAGCGCGAACCTCAACATATTCCAAAACGAAAGCGCGGAAGCACGGACAACGCCAGTGGTGGGGAAGGTTGCAAGAGCGGCATGCCGCACAAACAGGGAATGTGTTGCTGAGGAGGTGGCGCCTGCTGAACCCATTCCTGGTTCCCATACGATGCTTGGCGGCACATGTTTGTTTTTAAAAAACTGTATGGCAAGTGGCAAGCGGTGCGAACAGACATTGTGAATTTGATAACTGCCCGGGGCCAGGTGGTGGAAAATCAACAAGATATCCGCGAACAGTTTTGCGTGTGGTGGCAACAGATATTGCTGTGTGCGTGGCTGCAAGTACCTCGTGGAAACGGACCGGTTTTGAGTGGCTGGCCGGATGGGTTGTGAGTGGCCCCCCATCGGGAAGGGAGATGAAGGAAGGAGGCCACACAAATCGTGGATGTGGTGTTGGACCTTCAACACATGAAATCATGAGCAAGCGGCCCTGCCGTTGCAGGATTCATGTGGCGACTGCGCTGGCCACACAGTTTCTCGTCCTTTATACAAAGATGGGTGAACGGTGTGTGGTTTCAGTCATTGACTTGAAAATGGAATGTTGGAATCGAACATTTAGCTGTCATTAGATATTATCGAAAGATTCGTGTGGGCCCCGGGAAGGCGGCATTGCCTGTGTTCAACCCCTCGTAAATTGCCAAGTGAGGAAGGACATCTTTGACAATCCGGAGGACCAACCTAGTTCCAATAGGGCCTGTGTGAACGCAATGAGCGCGGCACTCCCAAGGTGAAACAGAAGTCACCACAGGAAGAGATTGAGATCTACCAGAACACCTTGAGATTCTTGGCAACATCTCCTCGAGGTAACGACTTTCCTTAATTAGGGTTTCCATTTTGTGGAACTACCTGCAAAACACCGCAAAAGAGTTCCATGTGATGCATTACAGCTGTATGCCTGTGTTTGTGTTTGATGTGTACAAGTGTTCTAGGGTTCATATGACAACATCGCAGTCTTGTCGCGGCCGGACGGCCGCAGGAAATTTTCGGATCCCCGGCGGTGTGGACTACTATGGCCCCGTGCGGGGGTGCACCAAGAAGAACTCCGTGAAATGCACCGAGAAGGCTTGCGGAATGCCTGACCTGCCCGCTTGTGTGAAATGGCGTGCTTGCTAAATGCAAAGCGCTCTTGGTGAAATGCGACGATGGCGAAACAAAAAAAACAGGATATATAGATAGAAAAAACAGTAGAAAAGGATGGCAATAAAAAGAGGAACACCGAAAAAATCCAAAACTGAGAGAGGGGAAACGTTCGGCCAAACGGAAATCACATCAAGTCACCAGGCTGGAGGTAATCCCGTATGCTGCTGCAATTCAGGCAAGGGCCACCGTTTATGCAATTGAGGATGTTCCTGCAGTCTCTAGTGGCGCTTTTAGTTTTTTGATACAAGTAGTATACGTATAGGGTCCATGACCAGATTGACTGAATACGCGGTTTCTGCGCAAGGGCTTTCTCAAACGTCCAAAAAAACGTCAAACCGACATGGAGTGAGTTCTTTCAATGTTTTTTCTCTCAACATGTCTCCGCGCAAGGTTTCATATTTGATTTCCCCAGTCGTGAATGCGTTGTAGATGCAGAGAACCTGACAAACAAGGAGGTTGGCAGCAGACGCAGTCAAACACTGTTTGCATATTGAATGCATCTTGCAATGTTGCTATCCATGTGCCGTCAACCAATCAGGCCACGGTTGTGATACTAATATGATTTGATGAAAGCACGCACGGGACATGGACAGCCACAGGAGCCAATCCCCGGCAGCGACAAGTGGGGTGCCTATAAGGGTACGAAGAGCTACTTCGGCCCAGCTCGAAGGCTGGATGGCAGAGGGCCTCTAAATTACAAACAGCTATGCTATTTTGTCAGGAACAACTTCGGAAGAATCACGGCATCTTTCGTTCGTACTACTTTTTTTGGATTCAAGCACTTGATCGTGTCACTGCGTGGTTTGTAGAGGACGGTCGCAGTTGAAGAGGTTGGAAGATGACCCTCACCAGGTGTGCCAAGGACAAGAAGAAGTGGTGCTGCCACCGCGCGTGCCAGTATGACTTGGAACATGATAACTGTGGCCTTTGCAAGGGTTATGCAACTTGCTTGCAGCTGGAGTTGGCAATTGCGGACAGAACAAACTGGAAAGACACATAGGCGAACACAATTCATCAAAATGGGTGCCTTGGAAGAGCATTTTCCTCTACAAACAGGGGATTTCCCAACCCCCATGTCAACTCCAAAGCGGGTTCAGACGACACCTGGGTTCAGGACCCCAGGGTTACGCGTGCCTGCCAGTGTTGCTTTGAGGACGAGCCAGCCCCACCAACTCCGGGTGAAGTCATCCAGAAGTTCGTTTTGGATCATGGCAGCTTGGCCAAGAAATTGATACAAATTGGAATCTGAGGACAGTTTTGTTGGTTGGAGTTTTGGCACGTGCATCGATGTTTTTGACATGGCCAAAAAGCGGAACCCCGCTTGCGACCTCGACAGAATCTCACCGCTTGGAGTTTCCAAGCATACCCAACAGATTGTGTTGGAATGGTGAGTGCTCATGGGATTGTCAATCTCATGGACCGTGATGTCACGCGAATCTCAGGAAACTACCTGATTCCTTCTGGCATCAAATCGCCTGGCGGCGCGACTGGACGCTTGCATGCAACACATGGGTCAAGCGTTCATTCTCTCTCTCTCTCTCTATCTATCTATATATATATATATTTTGTATACATATATATACATATATATATTTTTTTTCCATAACAAAAATGAACAAGAAACATATATAGTTATATATTATTACTTGGATGTTTGCATGGCTATCGCCATCGGGGATAAGAGCTAAGGGGGATGGAACAGTTGTTTTGTTCCGACTACGCTGCTTCAGTGCTTGCTGGGAAGCGGGTGCGGAACCGTTAACCAGTTGTGTCCGGTGGCTTACTTTCACGCTGGACCGAGGCATTTGCTACACCAAGCATGCGAAGAGTTGCACAGCCCATAACTCCACTGTCAAGCACTGCTGCTGTCATCAAGGCCCGGACCTGGGATGAGTTGGAATGACCGTGGCCATACGCACTTTTGTTGTGCCGGTCTATGCCTTTTTACTAGGGTGGAGGCCATCGTAAGTAGGTTGGAGGCCATCGCTACTAGTTACTAGTAACAAGAAGCTACTAGTAGCATGATGTAATTATGATTCATTGGGATGGTGTTGAGTGTTGAGCGTTTTCCGTGGCAATTGGAAGTGCATTGAATGTCATGCCAAATCTGCTGTCCCTTGTTGAAGGGTTCGATGTTGAGAGATTGTTGAGGTGCGCCTCCCACCTAGGTGTCCCTATCTCACCTGTTCCGTTGAGGCTTTTACTGGTCTTTCATATCTCGCCAATGTGTGTCACCTGCAACATTGGCCAAAGAAGAGGCCCAAGAGGCGGAGGACGGCAAAGCGATGCGTAGACAAGTTGGACATGCACAATGTTTGTGTTTGATGTGCTCTTCAACCTACTAGCGATGGCCTCCAACCTGATTAATAACGATGGCCTCCACAGTACCGGTGGCCTCTAACCTAGTAGCGATGAGCCAGAAGCCGGACAGGGATCAGGTTTCAACCGACAACCGCCAACCGGGTGAACCGAAATCAACCGGCGGTTGGCCGGTTGGCCGGTTCAGCCGGGTAACCGAGAACCGGCCAACCGGGTGAACCGAAATCAACCGGCCAACCGGGAAACCGCCGGTTGAGCCGGCCAACCGGGAA